CAGTACCCCCGAACCCCCCCCCAGCTGGGCAGTGCCCCCTGCCCCAACCCCTCCCCCACTCTCTCCCTCACTACGGGGGCCTCAATATGCCCCCCATGCCCCTTCCCCTTACCAGCCGGACACTGCTCTCCAAGCAATTAGATCAATATCAGCCGATATGGCTCATTAATAATTGGCCATCAGTATCAGCTCAAAAATCTTTATCGGTTCACCCCTAGAGAAAAGTCAGAAAAACTAAAGCAAGAATGGTATGGTATCTCATCCCATTCTCATAAATAAATGAAGAGGCTGTGACTTAGATGTTTACATGATCCAGTGGGTGACAAATTGGCTTGGGGGTCGCACCCAGAGAGTGGTAGTAGACGGGTCGGTATCAACCTGGAAGGATGTGGGTAGTGGGGTCCTGCAGGGCTCAGTCCTTGGACCTGTACTCTTCAACGACTTTATCAGTGACTTGGATGTAGATGTGAAGTGTACTCTGTCCAAGTTTGCAGATGATACTAAATTGTGGGGTGAAGTGCACACTCCAGAGGGTAGGGAACAATTGCAGGCAGACCTGGACAGGTTGGAAAAGTGGACAGAATACAATAGGATACAGTACAACAAGGACAAGTGCAGAGTGCTGCACCTGGGGTGTAAAAATATCCAGCACACCTACTGGCTAGGAAATGACCCTCTCAGCAGCACAAAAGCAGAAAGGAATCTCAAAGTCATAGTGGACTCCAAGATGAACATGAGTCATCAGTGTAACGAGATCATCAGCAAAGCTAACCGCACTTTATCGTGCATCAGCAGATGCATGACAAGTAGAACCAAGAAGGTGATACTTCCCCTCTGTGCAGCATTGGTCAGACCGTAGTTGGAGTACTGCATCCAGTTTTGGGCGCCGTACTTTAAGAAGGATGTGGATAGCCTCGAGAGGGTCCAGAGGGGGGCCACTCATATGGTTAAGGGTTTACAGGCTAAGCCCTATGAGAAGAGGTTAAGCAACCTGGACCTCTTCAGTCTCCACAACAGAAAGCTGAGAGGTGACCTTGTGGCCACCTACAAATTCATAAGAGGAACACAGCAAGGTATCGGAAGTGCTCTGTTCACCAGGGCACCTCTTGGGGTAACAAGGAACAATGGTGACAAACTGACAGAGAGCAGATTTAGGTTAGACATCAGGAAAAACTTCTGCATGATGAGGGTGGCCAAAATTTAAAACGGGCTTCCAAGGGAGGTGGTGCTCTCCCCTACCTTGGGGGTCTTTAAGAGAAGACTAGATAGGCATCTGGCTGAGGTCATCTGACCCCAGCACTCTTCCTTGCCCAGGCAGGGGGTCTGACTCAATCTGTTGCGGTCCCTTCCGACCTTAGCATCTATGAATGTACAGTTATCCGTCCATATATGAACAATAAAAAATCTGAACAGCTTGAGAATCACATTTATACTTATAATGTAGAAACACAAAAAATTAAGTCAAACCATGGGGGTGATTCACATAAGCGATGGATTCTACTTACAAAAGTACATACATTTCATTTTAAACCTAACAGGGCTTTTTTCCCCCATTTAAAATAAGATTTTCTTCTGGAAAAGTTAAATCCAGGGGCAGGACAAACAGTCAATGAGTTTATTAAAATTATAGATTTAATTTTTAATCCACTGCATGATCTATTCAAAGAGTACTTTCTTTATTCGTTAGCATGAAATCAAAAGACTGAAGCCGTTATGGTCTTCAATCTAACAGTAAAGCTCTCTTTCTAAAATCAAATTCTATACTAACAGCTTTGCAGGAAAGATTTGTGGATAAAAAACTACAACTGAATTGAAAGCAATGGGGTTTTGTTTTATACAGTCCTTTTCATATTTTAGGTAATTCTAGATCTTTTTCAAAGAGCATGCAGATGACTATAAGTAGGATGAACATAATGGGACAATGTGAAATACAGGACACTGTCCACGTCCCCCTGCCCCTCCTCCACTGCTGCAGACAAAGGCAGGAACAGGGAACCACTGGTATTACTATTCAGGCAGCTGAAGAGTCAATGGCCTGTTAATGACCCATTGTTTCTTCACAGGTGCTAACAATCCGCTTTTTAATGGTCATTCCACTAATCAAGTGAATGTATTAGGGCAATTTTGCTGTCAGCAGTGCTTCCTATTTCACAGCTCCTGCCACCTCATGCCCTGTACCTGGGACACTCATTTTAATTTTCATCAGCAAACTGGCACCAGCCTCCAAAATCCGGGACCTTCCCAGCCAATCCAGGATGTACAGTCACCCTAACTATAAGGGCAAATCTAATAGTTCTTATGAACTCAAAAACAGTCAGAAACAATCTTACGCCTTGAACCTGGGAAGATTTAACTTTGAGAACTAGTGACCAAGTCAGTAAGGTTCTTACATTCTACTTGCCAGTTGTCAGTTTTCAAGAAAAGAGCTTACAGTAATAAACACATATACAAAAAATTTTAAATCAGTTAAAATGTTAAACTTGTTAAAGCTAGAAAATCTAGTTATGGATATTTTTGCTTATAATGAAATTGGTAAGTTTACTATACTAATACTGTCAAATGCTTCATCTATTACAGTTTTAAGAAAAATATGGTGGTTTTTCTTCCCATCAGTATTTTGGACATTGTTCCACTGTATAATAAGCTTCCTTGGTGTGAAACATGTCCTGACATCTGGCAACTCCTTTGCTAAATTTCATCTCATTACTCAGCATTATGTCAACATAAGCTACTCAGAAGCATTTCTCTTCCTAAGCATTTACAAGCTAACAGGTACATGCAGATGGTTATCCTTTTCCACCAAGGGACTTAAGTGGAGTTCTGATTTGCTTTATTAACAACTGCTTATGGTATAAGGCTGAAAAGACTTCAGCATAAGAATAATTTTACTTTCATGAATACTCACTAGGGCTGTGCGAAGCTTTGGCCCCTGATTCGATTCGGCAGAGATTCAGCCCAATTCAGTGGCCAAATCTCCAAATCTGACTTGAATCAAAGGATCCTTTAATCTGTCCGAATCGATTTGGAGAGATCTGAAAAGATTCAGCAATTCGGACATAAGCACAGCTTTAAATGTTTTTTCTACATACCTCTAGGTAGCAGGCAGCTCAAGAATGCTGCAATGTAGGGGTGCATGGAGTGTCCCACAGAAGCATGGGGGGCTCCCCAGCACGCTCAGCAGCAGACCGAGAAGTGGACCAAAAGGACTTCCGGACTGCTTCCAGGTCCACAGAGGACCACGCAGGGTGTCCCCCCCCGCACTGTCCCAGCTCAGCAACTGGTGCCTCCTGGGTCTGGGAGGGCACCCGGGGACTCCCCACAGCCAATTGTCAAGCCTGGAGGGCACAGGGGGGGCTCCCCAGTGGACTCGGAAGTGGACCGGAAGTACTTCCGTTCTACTACGCGGTTCACCACCAAGCACACACGGAGGGGCCCCCCCAACACTCCTGTGGGACAATCCATCCGCCCCAGCACTGCAGCGTTCACAAGCCGCACTGGTACCTTGAGGTATGTAGAAAAAAATTAAAGCTATGTCTATGTCCAAATCACTGATTCTCTGAATCAGCATCAAATCTTCAAATTTGGGTTCGGCTGAATCAAATCAAGAACAGTGATCCAAATCAATGAATCGAATCACTGTCCCTGATTTGGTCTGAACCCAAATCGAATACGGCCCGCTTCACACACCCCTAATAGTCATACATCTCATGAAGAGTTCAGTAGAAAAGTTACCTGCATACTCAAATATCTGCAAGAGTAGGCCTATTTTAGTCCCATTTTAAAATGTAGATTAGCTGTAT